GGAGGGGGCTAGGGCGCCGCCGCCGGCGGCGGCGGAACCCTAGCGGGAGGGAGCGGGTCGTATCCTCTAGCCTGCAGTCCTCCGTACAACTGTACAAGACAAAGCTGGGTATGGTAGGGTACCTGAAGGCGGAGAAGGAGGGGAAGACCCCGGTGGACGCCATGACGGCGATCGAGGCGGCCGCGGACAAGGCCTGCAGGAGGTGGAGGCCGACCCCGCCAATCGTCCCCGCCGACCCCTGCGGGCTATTTATCCACACTCCGGGCGGGGGAGCATCCGCTCTGTCAATTCTATTTGGAGATGTTAGTTGTTAACTCTGAAAATTTGCGCACAGTATGAGGTTTAGGTCAGATTCTCGGCAACCAAGGCTAGCATCGATGATATGTTGTATGTGTAGGTAAATATATACTACTATATTTTTTGGTTTCTATGTATGCTGTTGTAAGCTGGTTTAGTACAGATGCATATGGTATAGTCAAGGCTTGCCTATGTATCCCAAAGATGTATCTGGCATCATCACATATACAGATGCACTTGGTACCTTTGTAGGAAGGTACATTTTTTTGCGAATAGTAGGAAGGTACATTTAACTAATGATAACTTAGCTTAACACAACTCACATGAGAGTAAAAATATGGTTTTTGTGACGAAGGTGAAACAATTTAAAGTTTCCGTGCCCATTTGCCAAATTGGGATATCTGAAATTGTCTTAATGATTTCGGTTTTAATAAGGTTGGAGTTTCAAACTTCTTACATGTCATGTGCCACTTGGGTGCACTCACTTGGAGACTATATTAATATAGTTTTGCGACGAAGGTGGAACAATTTGAAGTTTCTGTGCCCATTTGCCAAATTGGGATATTTGAAATTGACGTAATGATTTCGGTTTATACAATGTAGGAGTTTCAAACTTCTTACAGATCATGTGGCACTTTGGTGCAATAACTTTGGATGCTGGTCTAGCAAAAGAATTTGGGACGTATAAGTGTGCCATGTGAACATTTTTCTTCCTGATCGACATGGCTTATGGCGTACTCTAACGATTAGAGGATGTTTAAAACTTCATAATAAAGATGACTGAGAATTTATAGAAAGTGGTTGCACACGAGCTGCTATATTTTGTTCACAAGGTAGTGAAATATAATAATCGATCCAAATTAGAAACTAATAATTATTAATATAGGATTTTTTGAAAAAAGGATCATATCTATAAATAAAAAGTACCAGAAGCACAAAGCACCTCAAACATAAAATAAATACATTAAGGTCCATGACCACCAAACGACCATAGTCGCCACAAGAATGAGCCACCGACAGTCGCTGTTGCTGCTCCTATATCGGAGCCGGCCTAACCTTGTCGATAATAGCCGAAAAGCCTTCATGCAAGGATTAGTGCCCCAGAGCAGCAGCCATCGCCGTTGAGTCCGTGAATCGATCTGACACCAAATCTCGCCATTGTGTACGCACAACGAGAAACCCTAACCTCTCCGTCCCGGGGAGCTAGAAGGAATCAACACCAGAGCTTCATCTAATCCGTCCCAATAGACGAAGTTGAGGACGATCGGAGCTCGAAAGACTAACTGGAGAAAGAAGCACCGCCATCCGTCCGAACGTCGCCCCTACAAGGAATAAAACGTACCTATCTACTAGCCGGAGCTAAGAACCAGGATTTTCCTCCCCGCTACCGGCTGTCGGAGCGACGGACAAAGAGGAGACGAATCCACGGGATCATCGGCAGAGCTAGGGAGGAGTAAGGCTTTCCTCTAGTGGTCTTGCAAGAGGTGAAAGAAAAAACATAAATATAGCACTGTCTAGAAAAAAAAATCAACAAATCATGAGAAAACATTCACCAGCCTCGGATGTGTTACTATGAGCTGGCCACATGGAGATGAAGTTCGGGCTCTTTGGCCAATTTGGATGGCAATCTAGCAATAGAGTTTGTGACGTATAAGTGTGTCATGTGAAATTTTCTGAAACCACCACGGCCTTTTGCACACTTACCTTGTACTATCTGCTACTCAAGCGCTCATATACACGCGAGCACCAGAAATTGAACCCTAGTGGGCTGAGGATACCACAGTCCCTCTAACCATCCAACCACAGATTGGTTCGCGAATTAGCAGATGTTTAAAACTATGAAGATGATTGTTTGTATAAGCTGATGTAGAAGCCAGAAAATAATTGCCTTGTCATATCAAAATCTATAGAGGTTGCACAGGATGAGCTACTAGTTTCCATATGGTAAATGATATAATAATGATTACACATACAAACTAAAAAGGTCAATATATGTCTAGAAAAAATCTGCAAAACATGAGAAGACAGAAGAGAGAACAGCGGCGGCCATCGGATGCATCATCATCTTGGGTTGCCTTGGTCGCAAGCGGTGCGGCTTTGCCAACCCGATATCGGAAGGGTCCTCTGTATCCGTTGCGTGGCCGCCAACGACGTTGTCCTCGTGCTTGCACATGTCCTCCTGAACCATGCTGCTGCAGGGGAGCTCCGCCTCCTCAAGATCATCATAGGCATCCGTGGCCGTGCTGCCAACCACCCTAGCCGCCGACGTGACGACGACGTCGATGTCGCACCGGACGATGAAGCAGTCGTCCACGACGTAGCCCGACTTCTCTAGTTGGTCTCTTCCCATGAACCTAGAACGTTCACCGATGACATGGCCGTTGAACTTGAAGACGCCACCGAAACTGGACCGGTAGTGCTTGCGCTTGGGCGGCGTGGGCTTGTTGCCGTCGTGAGGGACGAGGGAGAACCGGACGTTTGCGTTGACATGGCTGAGGACGTACTTGTCGGCGATGCTGAGGGCGAGAGAGATGCCGTCGGCGTTGTTCCACCATCCCCCGTTGGGGTAGTAGTGGATCCGCCAGCGGTGGCCGGCGGCCTCGAACTCGCCGGACGGGGCGGCCACGCCGTTGCCGAGGAGCTTTGTCTCGGTGTAGCCATTGATTCTGAGAACATGGCTGCCGGTGGTCACCGTGGTGGTTAGGGTCGAGGTGGAGGCGTCGTCGATCATCATAGTCGATCGCAGTGCATAGGTTGTGGCGATGGATACCTGACGGAGCTACATATATTCACATGATCACATCACCCCTGTCCGTGTAGGCGTGGGTATATATTTCGATCCGGACAGGGTTATATATCCTCTCCGACTCCGACTGTCACCGTGTTGTTGTCCCATGTGGCATAATCCTATAAGTTGAAAACTTTATCCAGCGGATGGTAATGCTCGGATTTGTAATCTCTTGGCCATTGGATGAAGCATATCCAATGGCTAATATTTAAAGCTATTGGCACACTATATAGTGATATAGATATAGATATATTTTTGGCTGGTTTGTATGAACTTCACTGTGTTTGCATGAACTTCATCCGGTTTGTTGAAAAGGAGTTTCGAATGTATGCGGGCAGTGTTGGATGGCCGCCTCTGGCATCCATATCCGTGGACTGGTTCCCCCTATCCGCGGATGGATGAGGGAGAAATTTGCGGGTCGTCGTTGAAGATGCCCTTATTGTATATGAGGGGCTGATTGATCCAAAGTGCCAGAGCCGGCCCGGACCGTGTCCACCCTGAATCAAGGACTAGACGTCAAACCACGTATCAAGCATCAGAAGCATTTTTTATGGAGAACTGGATGGTAGTCTCAAACCAGGATCATCGTGGTATTCTTCCTCATCAAAGCATTCTTCAATAAAAAAAAGTAAACTCAATAGCTTGGGCTTTTTGGGCCGGCACAGCCCAATAGTCACTGGCCCTTATGCCATCCACTAACCTTCGCTCCTCAACTCTCAATCCTGTGCGCCATGGCGTCGCCACCGCCGCCGCCGGCGAAGAAACCCTCGCAACTCCACCCAACCACCATGACCGACCTCGACGACGACAACCTGCGCGAGATCTTCCTCCGCCTCCCCTCCCTCCCGAGCCTCGTCCGCGCCGCCCTCAGCTGCCGCGCCTTCCTCGACGCCGTCCGTTCCCCCGCTTTCCGCCTCCAGTTCCGCGCGCTCCACCCACCCCCACTCCTGGGCCTCTTCCTCGGCATCCAATACACCGTCACTCCTACCTTCGTGCCTCTCCTCCGCCGCTCCGACCCGGACACCGCAGCCGCCGTCCGCGGCGCCGATTTCTTCCTCACCCGCCTCCCCGTCTCCGAGGACGACAAAGAGGATGCCGGCCCCGGCCCCGTCCCTAAAGACGGCAAGGAGGATGCCGTCTCTGTCCCCGTCCCCAACCCCGAAGACGACGGCAAGGAGGACGTCTCTGTTCCTGTCCCGGAAGACGAGGATGTCATCTCCGTCCCTGTCCCCGTCTCTGAAGACGACGACGAGGATGCTGTCTCTGTCTCCGAAGACGACGACGACGAGGAAGCTGTCTTCGAGTGGTCAATCGGCGCCTGCCACGACGGATTTGTTGTTCTCGACAACTGGAGCAGCCGACAGGTGGCCGTCTACAACCCGCTCAGGCGGACCATGGACCTCTTTCCCCTGCCGCCCCACAGGGACGATTGCGAGGGCTTGCATTTTGATTACCACATTCTCGCCGAAGAAGAAGACTGCCGGTCGTCGTACCGCGTCATGTGTGTATGGCATGGCGAACGCGGGGCGCGTGCTGATGTCTTATCATCGGACACCAAAGAAGTGGCAGGTCTTCCCATGGACAAACATCGATGGGTTCTGGCCTCAGCATGGCAAGCTGGTGAATGGTTGCATTTATTGGACCGTTGGTAGGCCATCGGACGCCCGTGTGCTTAACACGGCTACGATGCAATTCTGTCGGATGGACATGCCACCGAGCAGCAGAGTTAATGAAATGTTGACGGCCGGCGAGACCAAGGATGGAAGGCTTTGTGTGGTCTTCGCACCTAATGTAGAACTGAATTCCAAATCCGCGCTCGTTGTTTGGACATGGAGAGCCGATGATGACAATGGTGTCGAGAGATGGATGCAGGACAAGTCGCTTCCGTTGCAGGAGATCCTTGGGATTGTTCAATGTGATTTCAGAGATGATGTTAAAAGAATTGAAGTGAGTGTCAAGGCGATCATCGATGGCTTTGTGTACTTGTCTGCTTATTGTGGGAGGTGGCAGCATCATCATTCAACTTGCTGGCTCCTATCCTTCTGCATGGAAACAGCGGTGCTGAACAACCTTGGTCGTATCCTCCATGCGTCTTCCTATCCCTACATCATGCCATGGCCTCGTTCTCTGGTACACAGCAAGGTGCGCCCTTGACTCAAGGTTCCTTGACTAGGAGGGTGAGATTTAATTACTAATTTATCATTAAGTTATGAACTTTATGTTGTCTTGCTAGAGTAATTCAATTTACTCATCTAAAGAATAAGTCAACATGGTGAGGTGCTGTTGAGAATTGCCAATCATTTGCATACCTTTGAGCATACTAACAACCATACTTCCAATTTCTCTTCGAGAAACAAAAGAAGAAATTTACCAGAGAATATCTTATGATAATGTAACAAGTTTCATATATCCAAATAAGTAAAATAACTTCCCTCCTGTTTTCCTTGATCATTATGGCCTTGTTCTAGAACTTTAAGAAACAGACTGTTTTAAATGCTGGTCCACGGCCAACCATTTTCTAACAGTTATTATAAATTGACCATGGTGTAGTTTCAAAGTCAAATAAGATGTTCTTTGTCCTTATTATTTTCTTGGCTGCATCGTTTCATAAACAGATACAGAAATCTTCAGCGTCTTTAAAGTTCAAATGTCATCTCATGACATTTCTTCTTTCTAGATAAAAACTTCCACATACATTCTATTAATTTGGTGAGGTTGAGAACAGATCTTAAATAGATTTTGAGCCATATCGACTATATTTTTCTTAGCCATAACTGATACTAGTATCTTTGTCATCTATGGGAGTAAAAAATGTAAAATCACTACTCTGCCACACATACCTAGCTTGAAAGATTTACTGAGTTCAGTGTTCTGCAAATCAAGAGCATAGGCTTGCCATATATCTTTAACATAATTTATCTTTTATGGCCTTGCCATATATCTTGACATGTTAGTGCATACGCGGACCAGAGCATAGGCTTTATGTTTTGTGTCGTTTATTATCTCCAAGTAAGTATTTTTTGGCGATCAGCAATATTTCTACATTGTTAAATGGGAACTAGTTTATTTTGTGTCGTTAATTATCTTCAAATGAGTATTTTCTGGTGATCATAAGTTCCCTTGTTCACCATGCTTATGCATTCAAATATATGAGACATCACATAGCATGCTGTCCTATGTGAAAATGGTCTGTAGTGTAATTGTTTATTTTGCTCAGGTGCATGCAGTTTGTATTACTCTGAGCATATATCACATAGCCAGCTGTCCTATGTAGAAAATGGGCTGTTGGAGCTTGGGATTATACTTGCATTGTAATCGTATATGTTAGCCTAGCAGTTCCAGATTTAGCAACCAGGGTGAGAAACTGGGAACAATTCACTGATATGCATGCTAGAGCAAAGTAAAAGTCCATGTTTTTCTGGTTTTACGAAACCACCTTATCCAGTGTGGGCTGATTGTGTTGATATCTGTTTTACAGCCAACCTGCTTATCCGGTTAAAGGCTATGTGAGCTACGTCCAAAAAGCATTTAAGTGATATATGCTCATTAAGTTGCATCATTGGATTCCTCGATGCAAGAGGAACACAGAGAAGAAAAATTGTGCCCTTTCTACTGGCAACACAGTTGGTTCAAACTACAGATCTTGACTGGGGAATACCAAAGGAGTAGGGCAGCAAGTTTGCAAGCCGGGTTTCATCAACGTGCTAGACTTTGGTTCACACGAAGAATCTGAATTATCTCCAAACGAAAAGTCAGATATGTGAAAGATACTATGGGCATTGGCCTCAATTTTAGCAAGTAATATTACACTCTTGTTAGTACATTCTCTGACTTAGATTGGGCAGGATGTTTGGATGATAGACGCTCCACTGGCTGTGTTGCAATGTTTCTTGGATCTAATCTGATCTCTTGGTGTGCCAGAAAACAAGCTACTGTTTCTAGGTCCAGCATAGAGGCAGAGTATAAGGCACTAGCTAATGCTACTGCAGAGATTATATGGGTACAATCCATTCTTAAGGAGCTTGGTGTGAGAACTACTCAAGCCCCATGTCTGTGGTGTGACAATTTGGGTGCAACTTATCTCTCAGCAAATCCAGTCTTTCATGCAAGAACAAAACATATTGAGATAGATTTCCATTTTGTCAGAGAAAGAGTTGCTAGTAAACTCCTAGACATTCGGTTCATTCATTCCAAGGACCAGATTGCAGATGGGTTTATCAAAGCCTTGCCCATAAGGAGCTTTGAGAACTTCAAGTATAATCTCAACTTGATGAAGTTGTGATTAAGGGAGGGTGTCAAACAACATGTTGTTGTGTACGTGACAGGGCTGCCGCACCATATCTCGCTATACATATCTTGGTAGTTCCGTAGGTAGTTAGCTAGAGTCTATCTCCTCATTGTAATCTTATCTCTATCTAGCTTTCTCTCCAAATGTAATCTAAACTGTATGCGCTATCAGGGAGGTGCGCCCCTGCCTATAAACACGTACGGCGTCCCCTCGAGTTGAGGTACGATGCTTTCCGCCATCGCACAACATGGATGCAACACAAGTCGTTTCCGCTGCAGGAGATACTTGGAATCGTTCGGTGTGATTTCAGGGATGATTTTAAAAAAATTGAAGTGAGTGTCAAGGCAATCATTGATGGCTTTGTGTACTTGTTTGCTTATTGTGGGAGGTGGCAGCATCATCATTCAACTCGCTGGCTCTTATCATTCTGCATGGAAACAGAGGTGCTGAACAACCTTGGTCTAATTCTTCATGGTTCTTGCCATCCCTACATCATGTCGTGGCCTCGTTCTTTGGTTGGTACACAGCACAGCAACGAAAGCACTCAAGGTTGCTTGACCGGAGGATTTAACTACTAAGTTATGAACTTTTTGTTGTCTTGCTATGGAAATTCGGTTTACTCATCTAAATAATAAGTCAACATCGTGAGGTGCTGTTGAGAGAATTGTCAATCATCAAACTTTGAGCATACTAACAACCATACTATGCCACTCATACGAAGCTTGAAAGATTTACTTTTCCGAGTTCAGTGTTCTGCAAATCACGATGTAGCTCCACCTGCACAAGTATGTTTAACAGAATTTATCTTTTATGGCCTTGCCATATACGTTTGACATGTTAGTGCATATGCAGAACAGAGCACAGGCTTTATGTTTTGTGGCGTTTATTATCTCCAAGTAAGTATTTTGTGGCGATCAGCAAGATTTCTACATTGTAAAATGGGAACTAGTTTATTTTGTGGCATTTATTATCTTCGAATGAGTATTTTGTGGCGATCATAAGCTCCATTGTTCACCATGCGTATATATATATATATATATATATATATATATATATATATATATATATATATATATATATATATATATATAAATATATGAGACATCATAGCCTGCTGTCCTATGTAGAAAATGGTCTGTAATGTAATTGTTTATTTTCCTCAGGTTAATGCAATTTGTATTACTAGAAAGGTTCATAGTGTAATCGTTAAGAGGCATATTTTTCCCAGCAATATATCACTAACACCCTCTGTACTACTCCCTCCATCCCATAATATAAGAGCGTTTCTGACACCAGTGTCAGAAACACTCGTATATTATGGGACAGAGGGAGTAGTATACAACTGGGCTAGATGACACTACTAACATATTCGTCTCAATTGTGTGTGGTTAGGAATCAATCTTTGTGATGCAACTGGGCTGTTGGAGCTTGGGATTATACTTGCATTGTAGTCGTATATGTTAGCCTAGCAGTTCCAGATTTAGCAGCCAGGGTGAGAGACTGGGAACTAATTCTCTGATATGCATGGCAGAACAAAGTAAAAGTCCATGTTGTTCTGGTTTTACAAAACCACCTTATCCGATCCTGCGTGGGCTGATTGTGTTGATATCTGTTTTACTGCTCACCAGCTTATCCAGCTAAAGGCTATGTGAGCCAGGTTCAAAAACCATTGAAGTGATATACGCTCATGAAGCTGCATCATTGGACTCGGCGCAGAGAATAAACATTTGTGCCCTTTGTACTGGCAACAAATCTTGACTTGGTTCACACTGAACTACAGATCTTGACTTGTGAATACCAAAAAGCGCGCGGCAAGTTTGCAGGCCGGGCTTTACCAATGTGCTATACTTTCGTTCACACGAAGAATCAGGGAATGAAACACTAAAGGATCACATTGTTTATCTATTGAAATTGTTGTTGTAGAACCGATATGCCATGCGGCAGTGCAGCACGCATGCACGAGATTTTGCTTTTCTGGAAACATCATAAGCAGGGCACTCCTACCCTTTGTAAAATATTAGTATCTGCGTCCTGGTTTATTGGCCCCCTTAGTATTTTGTGCTAACCTTTAACCATAGATTTAACTAAGTAAATGATAATGCATGTCACCGAAACTCATATCGTTGCATTCGTATTTGAACATAGTTTCCAGTGATATTATTTCTGTGACATGCATTATTATTTTTCTAGTTAAATCTATAGTCAAAGTTTGACATAAAATGTTAAGGGACCAATAAACTTGGACGGAGGTGTTTTTATGTACCCTTTCCACCATAAAGTGTCCTAATGTTAATAACCTGACAGAAATGCAGGTTTCCGATGCAAAATTCATGAGAATCGAATTAGCTAGCTAAGCAATAATCTGTTTTTGGATTCTTACGTTCCCCATTCTTACGGTGTGCTGCAGCCCGGAGCGGTGGAGCCAATCGGTCCAATTCCAGATTCCACCAAATATTCCGTTGCTCCAACCATCGGTTCAGTGATTAGGAAAGAGCGAGTGATCATTGGCGACTCCGTATGTTGGTTTTAATTTTATCTTTCTGCATCATCTTACTGAAATACCGTCGCACATGCAAAGAATTTTAAATGTACATACTTGAAATTTCTCGGAACAATCTTGTGACATATCTACAGTATGCGCGCTTGCAAACTTGCAATTTTCTGGCAGACAAATTTTAGCATATACTTATATTTGATGTTGTAGATTTAAGTATATTTTTACATGCTTTGTTAAACAAACTTAGAGAATTTTGACTCAGAACTTCAATCAAAATTTGGAACGGGGAGAATAATTAAGACTCAATTCGTTGGCCTATATATAAACCTCACGGAGCGTTCGACATAGAGCTTTACCAAAAAAGGCTTTCGTCCCGCTTTATATATAAAGCACCAAACCACAAGCACCCAGTACAAACACACGCCACGCCACCGCAACACACGCACACACCCATGACAGGATACATAGGCGCTGAGCGCAGCAACACCACCCCTAGCACTACGACCCCGAAGAGGTGAAACTACATATGACGAACCATGCGCTCCAAGGCGGCGCCTTTAGGAAGGATACGACACCGGAGCACCGCCACCGCCCGATCCAAGGATCAGAGTTTCCCCCAGAGCCGCATGACGAGCAATGAGAGCTGCGACGACGCCTTCAAGAAGGGAACGATCTTCGCCGCCGCCGGTCCGTCCGAAGATAGAGCATGTTTTCACCTCGGCCAACCTTCACCGCCACCGAACGCCACACCCCGGCAACCACGCCGCCCACACGACCATGGTGACCGGGCAGCACCAAGGCATGGGCTCTGCCCAAGAGCACCGCGCAACCACCACCAGGGCTGCCGCCCCAGCATCCAAGACCTCGACACCACCTCACCCGAGACCCGCCGTACCCCAACGAAAGAGACGAGCGAAATGGTCTCACCTTTCGCACCCCTGGGCCACCCCCAGCGTCGAGACCCAATAGGTCGGCCAGAACTGGCATCCACCGACCCGTCCTGCTACCCCGAGCGCGAGACGAGCTCGGTCCTGCATCATCGAGAGGGGGACGAGGTCAGTCCTGCTGCACCGTGTGCGAGACGAGCTCGGTCCTGCTGCATCGTGCGCGAGACGAGCTCGGTCCTACGACACCGGGCGCGAGACGAGCGATGGACCGCAGCCGGGAGAGGACCAGCCCATTGATGGGAGTAGCGCCCGGGCGGCGAGGAGATGGGGTGAAGGTCGAGACGGACCGACCACAGGCGAGCCGACGCCGGAGAAGCCGGCCACTGCCGCGGACAGATCCATTGAGCCACCGTGAAGCCGCCACGACACCGAGAGGTCACCATCAAGACCTCCCCACGCCGCCGCCCACGACAGGAGCAGCGGCCACGCCCGACCGCTGCCCTACACGTGTCGCTCGACGACCTCCAAGCAACGGAGCCACCGGGCACGCACCACCGGTCGGCCCCCAACGCCAGAACCGGTCGGATCCGGCAAGAGACCGGCTGCGCGCCACCTCCCGAGACGGGAGCAACGCAGCGGCCCCACCGCGCATGGAACGAAGGGAACCGGAGTGCCGCCACCAGCAGGCCACCCCGCCGCCCAGCGAGACCGCCGCCGCGCCGGTGGATCCCGCGGACAACCAGCGCCACCACTCGAAGGGGCCGCCCCGCGTCGGCGCCTACAAGCGGAGGGGGAAGAGTGGCCCCGCCGCCGCCATGCCCACCGGAGCTCGCC